GGTCATGTGGTTTAGGAGCCTTTGGAGCTGTGCTCCTAGAAAGGGAAAGAGTTAGGAAAGGTTTGGAGATGCCAGCTGAAAATGTAGAACTAGAGCACCTGAGGTCATACTTGATGGGAGATTCTGGTCAGAGTTCAGAAGACCAGACTGCTGATAGAAATGCTGCTCATAAAGAGCAGGCTCAGGAGGTTTCTGCTGGGAAGAAGGACTACATTGGCTGTTGGATTCTAGATGATATGAATGTGTGTTATGGCTTGGCAGAAAGTTTATCTGCACTTTCCTCATGGCCAGATACTTTGCCTGTGACAGAGATTAAAGGTGGTGGATTATAATCTTGCAGAAGAAATTTCAAGGTAGTCTAATGTTGAGGCCATGGCATGGCTGCTGTTGGGGGCTTTTAGCCAGATTTATATTGAGAATCAAAACCAAAGAGCCCAGCAGAATGATTTAAAACATTTTGAGTCTGGCCAGAAAGGAAGCTCCAGTAAAGCTGTGGACTGCAAAAATAGAACTGAGGAGATCTGGATTGTTGAGAAGGAACAGGAGAAGAGAAAAGATAGCCTGAGGGCATCACAAGAAGCAACAGGACTCACTCTTTGCAGCCTCAGAATGGCGAAAGTGAAAGACTTTGCTTTGAGAAGAGAGCCCCAGAGCACGGTGATCCAGAATGGCAACAGCCTAGGGAAATTGTCCCCCAGATTTGGTTCATAGGCACAGGACCCCTGCAGCCAAGAGAAGGAAGCCTGGTTACTGCTCCAGCTCAAAGCAGACCTTGGCGCCACCCACAAGGTGCTGGTTTTAGGTGCTGGCAGGATGAAAGAGTTGTGGGGTCAAGAGGGCTTCCACCCAGGTTCAGAAGGAGGCCTGGGAGGCCAGGCAGTGTGCCCTGAAAGGACAGTGCATGGAGCTGTGAGTGTGAAGCTAAAGGTGCATTGGAGACCCCAGAAATTTGGAAAACAGAAATGTGGATTGTCTGAGGAAAACTACAAGGAGGAAGCAGAGCTGGCCCCAGAGAGAAGCCATGGGAGCCACAACCACTGGCAGTGCTATAGGGGCGGCACCACCTAAGTCCTTTGGAGTTCACATCTTGCCACAGATTTCCTCAGATGCTCCATATGGAACTATAGGACTTAATGTTTGCGCTGTTGGATTTTGGACTTGCTTTCTTCCCATTCCTTTGTATTCTCCCACTTGTACCTTTTGGAATGAGAATGTTTATCTTGTGCCATTGTAAGTGTTTAACTGTCATCATTTGTATGGGGGCTTACAACTAAGAGTTCACTTTAAACTTCAGAGGAGATGTAGAGTTGGACTTTTCAGCAATGCTGAAACTGTTAGGACTTTGGCAGCTCTTAGAGATGAACTAAATGCCTTTTACATAAAGGGATGTGCATGAGTCTTTGGGGATCCAGGGGCAGAATGTTATGGCTTATGTCTAGATGACCCCCCGCCCCAAGCCTCAAGCAGTCATAGGTGAGGCTTTTCTGAGGTGGGTGGATCTAGAGTGTGTGATGCTTGAATTGATTCATGGTGCAATGCTAGGCTCAAGGGTACTAGGAGTAGGGTGTGAGTGCTACCCACCTTAAGTAGTCCGGATGGGATAAAAGGGACAGAAGACACTGTTAAGGTCCCCTTGTTTCTTTTGCTACCTTCTGCCTGTCTGGCATGCCACCTGCCTTGGAGCCAGCCGATTATGAACTGAAATTTGTAGAAACTCTGAGCTAAATAATCCTTCCCCCCTTGAACTTCAGCTGTCAGGTATTTTGTCAGCTACGAGAGGAAAGTAACTAAGACAGGATTTTAGGAGCGGTTTGGGGTGGAAAGAAAGCATTTTCTTTTTCATCTAGTGCCGGCCTTCTCACTTGTGGCAGGACAAAGCCATTGTGTTTGCTTGGGCTCTTACAAAGCTGGATCACATCATCTCTGGTGTGGCTTTCTTTTTATTATTACTAGCAGCTTCACAGTTCATGCCTTCGTTTTGGTGCTGCACAGTAGGGACGGGGTGACGAGAAGTGAGCTCAATAAAGGCCTTTCAGGAAAGCTTTCCGAGTTTGTCGTTGCCATCTGTCCTCTTTGGTCTCTTGCTTGTCAGGTTGGTCACACTTTATGAGACTCTGAGGTTTCTCATTGGAGTGGCATAGACACTCTAGGTAGAAACTAAGAAAGAGGCTGAAGTAAGCACTGTTTCAAAGAAATAATTAGGAAGAAAAGAAAAACACCTGTTTGTTCTCTAAGGTTGTATGAAACATAAGATGTGGAACATTTGGATTATTTATTTTCATTCTTAGTGACTTGTTAATTTTCAAAACCACTCATATCTTTCCCTTAAGACGTGGGTCATTTTTGAAGTAAGCAGCCAGGTCTTGATGCCATAAATTATTTATTTCTAAAACAGATAAGCATGCATCTTTCAGGTCTTTTGCAGGTGATTTGGCACAGGTGTAGTTTTATTTGTGGAAAATCTTTTGTCCCACTTTAAGCAGGGGGATTGTTCTGTTATCAAAAGGGCCAGGACTAGGACCAGAACTTTCGGCATGATAGGCAGTTTCTGTTGAGAACACCTGCTACCAGCACACAGTGCAACCATTGTTTCTTTCCCTGGACACATTCTGGACAGAGCCCTGTTGTTGTTGTTGTTGTTGTGTAGCCTGAAGTTGAGTCTTCACTTTATTTTTCTGCAGACATTTCATTTATAGTGGAACAGATTTCTGTCATTCTTCTGGTTTAGCTGATATGAATTTAATACAGTATATGTTGTGATCCAAGGGTGCTTGCTGAGACATTGTAGTCGTGGAAAGAGCACTTGGTTGGAATGAAGGCAGATAATCCCGACTCACATCCCTGCTTCCTGACTATATGGCTAAGGGAGAAGCATTTTGACTCTTTGGGCCTGGGCTTCTTGGAGTAAGAGATTGTCAGGACTTCCAGCATTAAGTTTCCACTTGTGCTTTGTATTTCTTGGGATGCCAAGAGCATCAGAAGTGCGTGTGGCAGCGGTTGGTAAGAGCCCTGTACCTGTGAAACCATTAAGTAACCCCAGGAGATGCTCTCTTAATTAAGTGATAGTGTGTTGCATAGCCAGTGATCGAGAAGTTTGGATGAGATGTTCTCTCTGTGGCCAGTTTCCACACTAAAAAAGAAAAATGTTTGCATTTCTAGGAAATTGCTGTGTTTTCAGCCTTGAACATGTTACTACATACTTAAGTGTGAACTTATAAATTAAGAACTTATAAATCAAGTGTCCCTTAACGCTTGAGACCAGAAATATTTCAGATTACAGAATTTTTTGGACTTTTGAATGTTTGCATATACATATGGAAATATCTTGGGGATGGGACTCAAATCTGAATACAAAATTCATCAGTGGGCTTGAAGATTATTTTACACAATATTTCAGATAATTTTGTATATGAAACAGTATTTCATCGTTTGGAATTTTTCACTTGTCCTGTCATGGTGGCATTCAAAAAGCTTTGTATTTTGGAGTGTTTTAGATTTTCGATTCTTTGGATTAGGGATACTCAGCCCATAATGAGTTTAGATAAGTGAACACTTCTTAATTTATTAGCTCTCTTACTCAAGTAAGAGGCAACCTATGGATAAGGCTAATGATATAGCATAGATGTCCCATTTTTGTTTTATATTCTCATACTCTTTAAAAAACCCTAATTTAAAAATTCGTATTGTATGAGCACTATATATTAATTATAGAAAACTTGGAAAATGCCAAAAAGGAAACTTAAGTAGCTTCCAGAAATGCTGTTATTTACACTTTGGTGCCTTTAGGTTATATACACAGTGGAACAGAATTGTGATCACAGTGTTCATATTGATATCTTTTTCTTGCTGCTTTCTTTTCAGGTGATTTTGGGGACTGAAGGTAGAGATTAACGTAATATTATATTTGGCACATTTGCAATGAGGGCTGTTTTGATTTACAGAACTAGAATTGAAGATCAGTATCTGAAAATAACATTTGTCCTGTTCCCTCTTGAATAGGCTTTCAATATTTAGCCTCTATAGATAGTGTCATAAATATTACTATATTTAACAGATGAAGACTTCTTAATCTGTTAGCTCTTATTGTTCACTAATTCTTTTCATAAGCATCCCTCATTTGAGTTTTTCTGTGTCAATATTACTAGTTGCAGCATCAGTGAGCATAAGTTGCTTTTAGGCTGTTTTTCTGGATGCTCTGAGCGCTCAGGCTGAAGCATGGTAACTAGTGTGGGTCTGGATGTAGTTTGGCAGCAGGAAGGTTAGAGGATTCCTTTTGCCCAGATAGATTATACATTTGATAATATTTATGATTTACTTGCTGAGTATTGGTTTTATATATAATTTCCTCTATTAGGAAATGAAAGATTAATTTCTCCTTTGGATTGTGTAGCCTGTAAAATATTCTGTTAGGCCATTTGCACTGCATTGTGAGTACAGTTCTAAATCCTGAACCACATTAGAATTTTTTCATGGCCCCTACTCCTGTGTCTCTTGGTGGCGTCCTTTGAAGTCTTAAAATGTTTTCATGTTTGATTAAGATTAAATCTGGGTCTCATTTTACTTTTAGCCATATTGAGCAAGTTAATTTTCTGTTTGAGTTCCTAAGGGGAATGACTGCAGGCCTCTGTGTCCCAAGAATTCAGACTAAGCCCTGCCAGAACATTCCTGTGGTTTTCCATGGGGCAGATCACTATGTTCATGAAATTTTAGTTGTAGCTTGTGTTTTCCATGGTTAATTAAAACATCTGGCTTTTAAATTTTCCCCAAACGGAACACAGTCGTGTGGCCATACCTTTTCAGTAATGATTAAATACTTAAGCCCTCCTCTCGGAATAGGCCTGACTTGTCTTTAGAGTACCTTATAAGCTGTTGTCTCTGTTCATCAATGATTTTAAATATTTGGAAGGTGCTTGATGTTATCCTGCCAACTATGTGCCCTGGAGAAAGAAACAGTTTGTGAATATGAATCCTTATAATGGCTTCTGGCCTTTGCTCTCCAGGTTGGAGCTGCCCTGGGTGAGCTGCTGCAGTCTCTAGCCAAGCATGCTGTGGTTGGATCTGCCTAGCCGTGGAACAGAAACATTTGCTGGGTGGAAAATCCATAAAAGAAAGCTCCTGTGAAACACTGAGACAGACGACAACTTCAGCAAAAAGGTTGGTATAAACATAAGAAAGGCTGGCTAAAGTTCACTGGGTCAGATAGGGAAAAGTTGTTTTGTCTCTTCCATTAGTATTTTTGAGACAACCCCAAGTAATTATCTGGAGTTGTTTGGGAGATTCTTAGCATCCTGTCAGTGGTGTATCCTCACAGATTTCTTTGTAGGGTATATTGTTGTCTTCCTTTCCTTCTCTTCTTCTCCTCTCCTCTGTCCATCCTGTCTTTCATCTTTTCCTCTCTCAGAGAAGGAGGATCTTCAGCACAAATTGCAAAAGCCACAAGCAGAGGTCACCCATAACAGCCTCAGTGATCGTATTTGGAGAGAAAGCCATGTTTGCCCCAGGGGGAGGGGGTGGGGTTGTGCTGGGATTTTCAGAGAGTTGTGCTTATTTATGTTTTCACACTGAGAAGGTTGGGTCATTTCTGAGGGGGTACTTCTGGCTGTGCATACTTTGTTTGCTTGGCAAGGTTTTAAGTACTTATTTTCCCCAAACCAAAAGCTACTGAAACGTTCTTTTTCAGCAGTGTGTGCATTTGGCATTAAGATACTCATATAAGGCAAGGGAAGAGAAAGGCCCTGAATATAATAGGGATTTAAATAAATGCAAAATAGGCTCACTGTGAACCAGGAGAATGAAACAGCATCAATAACCCCATAGGTGGCAGTAAGGTGGAAAATAACTCATTTTGAGAAAGTATATTGTACAGGGTCAGGCATTGTAGATAATTTCTCTTGGCTATTCAGTGGATAACTTGGCCTGATTCATAAAAGGCAGTTAAGAAGTACTCAGTGGGAAGGAGCGAGCCAGCAGGCTTTGAGAGCCAATGAAGTGGTGACTGTCTGTTGACCTTGGCTGCCCAGCATCTCTTTCCCATTTCTTTTAATAAATCACCCACATTTTCCCTGGGAAGCTACCCTTGCTTCGTTGTCAGTCTATGTAGTTAGAGGTGGTGGTGACTCCACTGACTCAGTCCTGGGCATGTGACATAGCCTGACCAGTGATGTTCACAATGGTCAGTTAATAGAGGGACCCCACGGTACTTACTTCAGTACTGTTGTGGAAACTATTGAAAAGAGAGTTTGTTTTCCTTTTTTGTGAGTTTGTTAAGCTGGAGCTGCTAGTGGCAATTTTGTGTGTATGTGCGGAATTGAACCCAGGGCCCTTGTGCATGCTAGGCAAGTGCCCTACCACTGAGCTATATCTCCAGCCAGAGGGAAAGACTTTCTGAGAATTAAGTCAGCATAGAAGAAATCAGAGCAGGGAGATGGAGGAAAGGAGGTGAAATGGGAGGGACCCCCATACACATGAACCCAATTACATATACACAGATAAGTACAGCACATGCATACAAATGCCCAGATACAAATGCACATATATATGCAAACATACATATGCATTCACATGTTCATTTATATACTCATGTAGACGTATGCTCACACATATATGTGCACAAATTTGACCCCCATTTTAGCATACAGCAGCATTTCCCATTTCACTTTCCTGGCAGGTTAGTTAGGTAACCGTATCACTTACATTCCAAACTTCCTGATTTACAGTAGCATCTAGGTGTGAGAGCTCAGTGCAGAAATGATCGTGGCTTAGTCCCTGTCTTTGGAGGCTAATGGTGTAGGAAATGGCTTGGTACATCCTTGGGTAGCTGACAAGGAGCATGGCAGTGTATCACTAGAGGTAGAGCAAGGCTCTGTGGGAGAAGAGGTGAAACTCTGCATTCTGCTGGGCAGTGGAGAGAATAGCAGAAAGCACCAGCAAAGGAGAAATGGGGCTTTGGTTTCAGAAACATTTTTAGATCCATTTAATTCAGTTACTTTTTGAGTATAAAGAAAGAAGCCTTTCCAAAGCCTATAGTTAAAGCAAATTGCAGATAAGGAAGATAATTTCAGGGCATCACCAGTAGTAGAATCTTGTTATTTACTGTAAATACAATTGTTTCAGGAGCAGCCAAATGAGAGGTTATCAGAAAGCTGTCCAGAGTTTATTTTAACACCAGACAGTAACAGCCATTGTTCTCATCAAAACCTCAGTTGGCTTTGTGTTCAGTGAAATTCCAACTGTGCCAGGGAATATTGAAGCTTTATTTCCTCTTGTGACTGTTACTCTTTATTATTATTATTATTTAATTTTTATAATTAACATAATTTGCTCAATTTAAACTTATAAGACTTTGGGGGAGTTTAGATTATAGAAACATAGGGCAGAATGTACAGACAGTTTCCATATAACTCCTGCTGCAGATTTCTCCTATTATTGCTATCTTGCATTAATGTGACACGTTTGTTATAATCAGTGAGCCAGTTTGACATATTAATTGAGGTTCATAGTTTATATTGGGTTCACTCTATGTTATATATTCTATGGGTGTTGAAAAATATTTTCAATAGTAACACAGATTTTTGTATGATATATCATACAACTATGTATCATAGTATAAATTTATCATACAAATATATCATAATGTAATATCATACAAAATAGTTTCACTGTCCTAAAAATCCCAGTGTCCTACCTAGTCATCCCTTCCTACCTTCTCCTGAACCCCTGATTTTACCATCTCTATAGTTTTACTCCTCAAAATGTCATATAATTAGAATCATATACTATGGAGTCTTTTGAGATGTGCTTTTTTCATTTAGCAAAGTTCATTTAAGATTCCTCTGTCCTCACATGAATAAATACGGAATAATTTCTCTGGTGTGAGAAACTGAAAGTGTAAATAAGGACTAAATGTATAATAGGTAATGTGAAATAGGAAGAAAAGGGGCAAAGGGAAAGAAAGTGGGAGGGCTAGGGGAAAGGATAGAAGGGAATGGGATTAATATGAGAAAATGGAAAAATAGGAACAAAATCTTTGTAAATAGGGAGGAATGGAGGGGTTGAAGGGAGGGCTGAGCAAGGGTGAAAAATAAGAACCAAGAGAGACTATGTAAAGGTGCAAATTTCCAATGATGAATGTCATTATATTGTATACCTAAAATGTACCAATGATTAGAATGAATAATTGATAATGTAAAATAGGAAGAAAAGGTCCAAAGGGATAGGGGTAGTGGGAGGGTCAGGGGAAAGGAAAGAAGTGAAAGGAAAAATGATGAGAAATGGAAAAAATGGAAATAAAGTCTTTGTAAATAGGGAAGGGCGGAGGGGGTGAAGGGAGAGCTAGGAATGGGGAAAAAATAAGAACCAAGATGCATTATGTAAAGATACCATTCCCAATGAGAAATGTAATTGTGTTGTATACCTACAATGTACCAATAAAAGAATTTAAAAAAAAGAAAAGACTCCTCTGTCCTTTCATAGCTTGACAGCTGATTTTTTTGCAGTACTTAATAGTACTTCTTTGTATGCTTATTCCATGGTTTACTTATTCATTCACCTTTTGAAGAAACATCTTACTTGTCTCCAAGCTTTGGTAATTATGAATAAAGCTGCTATGAACATTTCTTTGTGAGTTTTTGTATGGAAGTTTTAAATTCATTTGGATTTCTTATTGTTAAGTGTGATGTTAGCTATAAAGACATTCTTTATTAAGTTGAGGAAGTTCCCCTCTAGTCCTAGTTTTTATGAAAAAGTATTGGATTTTTTCAAATTTTTTTTGCAAGTATTGATATGTTCATATGATTTTTCTTTAGTTTCTTAAATTATAGATTACATTAATTTAATTTTGAATGTTGAACCAGCTTTTTGATAGGTATTGCATTGAACCTCAATATCAAGAGTTCTAATCCATGAACATGAGATGTGTTTTCATTTCCTTAGGTCTTTAATATTTTTCAACAGTGCTGCATTGTTTTCAAGGTATAAGTCTTGTACTTCATTGTTCAGTTTATTCCTAAGTATTTTTTTTTCTTTTTGATGCCTTTACAAATGAAATTGTTTTCTTAATTTCATTTTTGGGTTTTTCATTGCTAGTCCATAGAAATGCAATTGATTTTTATATAATGACCTTGTTTCCTCCAACTATGTTGAACTTGTTCATACAAGTACTGATAATTTTTTTACTATACATGTGACTTCCTTAATATTTTCTGTATAACAGATTGTATCCTCTACTGTTAGATTTATTTCTTGCCCAATCTGGATGTTATCATTGTTTTTTGGCAGTTATTTGAAAACTTGATTGTGATATGAGAAATACAAAATTGTGCACTTTGGAGTTTCTTATGAAATCATTCCATTATGTAGATTTTTGATAAAGACAAACAATGACAATTATGAAATTCAGTTCCTATTTACTCTGTGTTCTTTTGCTTTGAGATTGCATGGACATACATGTCCAGACCTTTTTTATTTTTGAGACACAGTCACTGAATTACTGAGTTGGCAAGTTTCCCAGGCTGGGCTTAAATTTCCTATCCTCTTGCCCCAGCTTTGAGACTACTGGGATTACAGGTGTGTACCACCACCCCTGTTCAGTCAAGTACTTTTTAGGCATTCCTATATTTTCTTTGAAGAAATCCCTATGCAAATTTTTTGCCTATTATTATATAGGGTTATTTTGCTCTGTATCTGTACTCTGGATATAAGTCCTTTATTAGATATCTAATTTGCACCTGCTTTCTGCCAATCTTTGGTCTTGTCATTTTCATTTTTTTATGCTGTTGTTTTTCTCCATAATGAAATAATGTAAATTTAGATTAATATTAAATTTTGTCAATATAGGAAATTGTGTGTGTGTGTGTGTAAATTTCTTTTCATTTTTTTTCAGTAAACTTCTTTTCTTAATGGGGTCCTTTGAGGTACAAAAGTTTTTAATTGTAATGAAGTTCAATTTATCTCTTTTTTCTTTTAAAACTTACTATTGTGATGTTTCTAAAAGCTCTTTGCCTAATGAAAGCTCACAAAGTTCATTTTATTTTAATTTCTTTTTCATGTTCCATACCAACACCATTGCTGATAAACATAAAACTATTCATTATCTACTGATTTCATGGTACTTTTGTAGAAAATCACATGTCCATAAAGATAAAGGCTTATACCTA